TTCTCGGAAATAAAGCCATATTTCTAAAAACGAAGTATACCACGATTTGTTTTGGCTATATGTCTACCTTATACTTGAATATAAGCGAAATCGATTTTTTGACTGTTGCCAGAAAATTTCGATTTTGTTTGATTTTTGCTGACATCTACTCTTAATCCAATGTCACCAGTTATAAAAATACCTAACTCCTAGCGGACAATAACAATGTTTGTTAATGGAACATTTAAAGCATTTTTTGTTTAATATCAAAATTAAATGTACCACGAAGAACGGTAAAATGAAAAATGATTGCAAGGCAATAAATTTTTTTTTATCGATTGCTTTTAATCGATATGATTATTAGCTTTTATAGATTACATTAATCAATATTACTTTATGGATATTATGCCAAGAATTATGCAGTTTATTTGGTGCATACTACGCATGTCAGTTCACGACCTTCAACATATGGATGACAAGGCAGAGAACCACACTTTCCTTCTACGTGATACAACAGAGCACCATTGAAATTGCCGTGGCTTCCCGGTACAGTTTCTGTATCCTGATCAACACAAATGAAATCGGATTTTACGTAACCATAATGCTGAGCCATCAGGTATCCATGGTACTCCCGTGTCCATCCCGCAGGACACTCGTAAATTGCAGGGATCATCATCTTGACGCTTCGTGTTGTAACGTAACACACAGCGCACGGGGCATCGTGATCATGAAGATTTTTTGTGTTAAATGGGCTGTTACTGCTAACCTGGTATTCTGTACCKTACATGTATGCACCGTCTGCGTCACTAGCTTTATACCTTCCATATTTTGGGGTCTCAGGAAGACAMACGTAATTAGCACCTCCACCTGTATGAGTATATTCTTCTCCTCCAATACGTCCTAGAAGTCACACCAATTAGTTATAGTTATAATTCGTTGGATTGAAATGTTCAACGCTTGCTAAAGTAAATCATAATGGTGTATTCTTTACTTTACCTTTGTAAACAAGAGTAGCATTGTAATGGCAGGTGGTTCTTCCCCATCGTACGTACTGTACTCCACCACTCTTGGGTCCTGGAGGACCTTTTACACCTTGCTGCCCTTGCTCTCCTTTCAAACCTGGAGGACCTGAAGAAATCCCTCTTTTTAATATAATGTTGTAATATTTTAATCTAATTCACCAAGTTATTTGAAGAGAACATAGTTTCATGATAAGTTAATGACTTACCTRTCAGTCCTGGAGAGCCATCYCTCCCATCACGACCATCTTTACCGTCACGACCATCTCTACCTTTCAATMAAAAAATAAGTGTTTCTTTATTCAACTGCCCTTCCAGGAAAACTCCATAAACACAGTCCGACTTTTAGGCCTAACTCTTTGCAGGGCCATATTTATTCTGCCGGACTACTATATATATTGAAAACGTTATTATCGTCGTTATCATTTTGAAACCAATTGACGCATTCAAGACAAAATACTTAATCTTTTTTAAAATTAGATTATTTCAATATTGAAATCAATACAACATATTCATATTCATATCCAAATTAATATTATTATTTATAATAATTATAATGATCTTTATCGTTTGTTACTTATATGTATTTATTAACGTATATAAACTATCATCGTTATCATTATTCCATTATTAATCTGTATTTATCATCAGTAATAATGTAACTACTATAAATCTCGCATTCGGATTGGTTGGGAGCGCGTGCTTTATGAGAGCACGCAGCAAGCACGCGCCGTTTGCATTTCATAAAAGAAATAAAAAATTTGCTTCATGTGCTGTGTTGAGTTATAATCATAAACCACTTGGGGATTGGCAGAACACTGCTCTCGTGTTCTGCCAACCCCCGCGCGCTTTATAACTGCACACAGCACGCGCGCGCGTTTTCTATTTCTTCAATATGTCCCTGTATTAATGAAATATTGTGAGTGATAATAATAATAATAGTAATAATAATAATATGATGATAATATGATGATGATGATGATGATGATGATAATGATATCTATTGCTACAGTGCAATTACTATAACCGGTTAGACAAGAGAATCAATTAAAATGTAGAATGAAAACAATACATTCGAGCTTTGTGTAGACGAGCCAATCAGAAACCTACACTGCACAAAAATGGTATTTTGACCCTGTTGTTACGTGTAAAGAACTAGATAGCCATTGTCATTTTCTCGTGGGAATAAAAAGATATGTTGAAAGGCTATTGTGTTTTCTGCTGCTTTCTGGTTGGCTCCATTATCCAAAGTTGGAATGTATTATTTTCATTCTACAATTTGATTGGTTCTCGCTTTCTAAGTGGACCCTGTTATAAGTAGTCGCACTGTAAATTATAAATTATYAATATCGATAGGTTATTATTTTTCTTAACAACAATTTATTATTATTTAATAGCATTATCATTTTGATTATTATTGTCTTTATGTTTTTTTTAAGATCATGATCATTATTATATCATTATTATGATCATATTATATCACGATTTCTTTATAATTTTTTTGACGAAACGTACGCATTCGTTGTTAATATTATTTATTTATTTACTTTTTATTTTTATCCATCCAATCAGTAATCATCGAATAATTTTAATATTTATTGCAGGAGAAGTTATCTAAACAGTTAGTTGGGYAACTGTAATTCACTACTGACATAATAAGAACGATAATATTCCCTCCGCCAGCGGCTTTTAGAAGAAACGCTTAACCTTGTCTGATTGCAGACTCACCTCGTAGTAGTAGTGTTYTCTTTGATTCAAGATCAATGATTCTGAAACAAAATTATACAACTTAGGTACTATCATTACATTTAATCAGGGAGATCTCTCTCGAACGTTATTTTAATGCGATGCTTTTGGGGTTTTTTTAGATAAAGGCTAATAGCACTAGCTAGATTGTTATTAGATTTTCCTATATTCTTGAGCACGCACCTTTTCTCGAGATTTTTCAAAAGGTTAATCACATCAGACAGTGTCGTTGGTGTTTGCGTTGGATCAACAACCTTTTTCTTSGCATTTTGTTGCTGCACATCAGTTGTTTGTACAGCAGCACAAAACATAAGACTTACTGTTATAAGTTTACACCACATACGGAACCACTGAAAAACGATACAGACATTCTGATCAAAAGCCCTGTAAGAACAAAGAAGATTTTTGAAAGTAATTGTCGTTAATTCTCGTAAACCTGCGGGCGAAAACCAATGAAGGAGGATAAAGATTACGTTTCTTACCTGCCTTTGAAATAATACTGTGGTCTTAATCAATTCCTGTTCCGTCACAAGTTCGAAAAAATTTCTTTCTTGTAAAGAAAGCCGTATACTCACTTTTCGATATTGAGGCTGCATGTAACGCTAACTGATATTTGATCGCTTCACTTAAACTATTTAAGCGACATAATCAGTGCACGTGATTTGGCCAATATTTACATACTATCTGTTGTTTTAAAGTTACTTTAACGAGGTTGTTATAAAACTTCCACATACTCAAATACCCTTGTACCATTCTGCATAGCAAATGTTTTGACTTTTGAAGCTTAACGAAAAATATATAAATTGACCGAAACACAGATATTCTGATCTAGTAAGCTTGTGATATGCATTAATTTTATAAAAAGGTCAATAGTTGTGACAATATGCAGCATATAGAGTACCAAGCCCCAAGCCCAACGCTTCTTCGAGATATCTCAACCAAATAGGTGGGAATACGAAGTCGAAATTTGTTTGCGAAGCACCGGTGGCCTAGCAATAAGAGCGCTCAAGTCTCATCAAAGCGACCCGGGCTCAAGTCCGGCTGGGCTCGTTGTCCCATGTGAGTAGAGATGAGTGTTGGTTCTCTCCAGTCTTCAGGGGTTTTTCTCCCTCCACAAAAATAAATTCCAAAATTTCAATTCGATCATGGAACGAGGACCACAGGTTTGTTGATTAGCCACTGGCTATAAAGTGCTATCCTCGTAAAAACAACAAACAACGGAAATGTTGCATTACGTCCACCTATTCTTAAGGTATTTTTATTWAAAACTTCAAACTGATATGCACTATGAAGAACAGCACGAGAAATAAACCATGAAACAAGGRAAATTGTGTCCTAAGTGCTGCTCACCACGTGATATCCTCTCCAAAAAAMTTTGCAGCTTCTTATTTAATTAGTCAGTATCCAGTATACTTCGAASAATATTCAAAAACAATGAAACTTTAATGAACTGCTAATATTTATGATTGCTAAATYCTAGATCTACTACTGACAYTCGTATATWAAACTGGCGCTTAATTTAGAATTACTTAAAATATAATCCATGCATAGRTCGGACTACTTTTTGTTATACTCTTAGCCTTTAAAAAATCTATACTATCATCTAAGTACAATTGGTAAATCTTCACTTGATTTCTTCACTTAGAGTTTATCATTATTCGTCTTTTGTTGTCATAGAATTTTTGTTAGGGTGCACTTAATTTGGAGYCAAGCTCTGTTGTCSGCTTGATGACTTGTTATTCGACTCTTGGAGAAATAGCAGACAAAAATATATTTAAAATTAAAAAAATATGGACGTGGTTGTTTTAGATTTTTGGACTTTTTTAATTAATCGATATGATCATTAGCATTCCTAGATTGAAGTTAATATCTATGATTATTACTTTTATTTCACTTGGAATACTTAGCCCAACTAAAAGATAATACAGTTTATTTGGTACACACTGCGCATGTMAGTTCACGACCCTCAACATATGGAAGACAAGGAAGAGAGCCACACCTTCCTTCCACACRATACAACAGGGCACCATCAAGGTTGGCATGGGTTCCTGGTACAGCTTCTGCATCTTCATCAACACAAATGAATTCAAATGGATRTTGGTGACCGTGATRCGCCGTCATGAGGTATCCATTGTACTCTGGCGTCCATCCCGCGGGACACTCGTAAGTCGCAGGRATCATCATCTTGACACTTCGTGTTGTAACGTAACACACAGCACACGGAGCCTCGTGGTCATGAAGATTACTTGTGGTGAATGGGTTGAAYTCGCTGACCTCGTATTCTGCACCGTATATGTTACCACCGCTCTGGAAACCATCTTTGTACCTTCCATATTTGGGGGTCTCAGGGAGACACACGTAATTAGCACCTCCACCTTTATTATCATAGTATTCTCCTCCGATGCGACCTAGAAATCACGGCAAGATTTTATCATTGTGTTGGCTAAATTGTTTAATAMCTGCAAAGGTCACCGAAAGGTTTAAACTTCACTTTACCTTTRTAAACAAGAGTAGCATTGTAAGGGCASATAGTTCTCCCYCATCGTACGTACTGTACTCCACCACTCTTGGGTCCTGGTGGACCTCTCACACCTTGATGTCCTGGCTCTCCTTTCAAACCTGGTGGACCTGGAGGAAGAAAATTCAAGAAAATTTTCTGKAATTAAAACATCTCTTATTACATGGAAACATAGCTTTAAGCAATAGACATGCAGACTTATTCGTAGTTGAACTCTATGAAATATTTTTTATCTTTTACTTGAGTTACGTATATAATCTTCAAATAGTTATGTCCTCACTCTATAATCCGATATAAGCACCTAAAATATTTTTTAAATTTTCATCTTTTCTAAAGAAATTATGTATTTAACTTTTTGTACGGAGTAAAAAAAAATCGATTGCTCTACGGACTCATCCATATTTGGCAGCCTTCGGAATTATTGTCATCCAATACTATTTCCAATTTGGTCATGTAATTCCTTTATTCGACGCTTTTTTACTGACCTGGTAAACCATCACGTCCATCGCGTCCATCTTTGCCTAAGAAAAATGGTTTTTTTTTTCAAATTGAAACAGTTATATTCTACTTCTCATATTGCTGAATGCATGTGTTTTCGATATCATGAAAAGCGTTTTTAGGACGTGCACAGCGTATAGACCCGTGCAGTGTGCGTGCGCAACATCATTGAAAGTTGAAGATTCAATGCCCACCTGGTTTTCCTGGGGGCCCATCGCGACCGTCTCTACCTAGAGTACGAAAACCACCCTTTAGTTTTACTGGTCTTCTTCCAAACAAATTATCACAAATATGAAGTAGACATTCAAGTCAGTATTTTCAACTTACCTCGAAGCARCAAAGAACGTTTTGATTCAATCTKAATAATTCTGAAATGCAATGAAATGAGCCATATGTTGCTTAGCCGACCTCAGTGCAATAGATATTGCGATAGATATTCTTCAAAGCTAAAGATTTTGATCTAAATTTTGGACTTATAAAGACTAAAAGCACCCTTTTATAATTCTTAGTTCATATTTGATAGGTTGCGCAATGGATTGCCTGCCGTGTTAAACCAGTGAACACTGAACTATGCYAGCAAAAATATCAGATTTTATCTGATGAGGTGCAAGGAAGCCATAATAACTTTTTTTAACCGTAAAGTATTTCGAATTGTCTTTTTTATGGCGATACCTTTTTTCGAGATTCATCAACATGTTAACCACATCAGACAGAGTTGTTGGTGTTTTAGTTGGATCGGCAGCCTTTTTTCTCACATTTTGTTGCTGCASATCAGTCATTTGTGCAACACAGAACATAACAAGACCCATTGCTACAAGAAGTGCAGCTGTACACCCCATTCTTCTACCAAGCGATATTCTGAAAAGATCTTRAAAGAAATGAGAAATACACAGAGAGGAGATCAACAAACCTGTTAGGAAAATTCTTCGTAGACTTCTGATAAGCACAGGGGACTAAAGAGGACCTAGACATCACGTAATTAAATGGCGCAGGGTTAACCACTTGGCATTCAATTGAAAAACCACATAGATTAATGATATGATGAAGTAAACAGCAGTGTGCGAAGTAAGGAAATGTTTAATAAATTTTATTAAGCTTAGCGAAGAAAAAATTGCATTATTCGCTAAGATTTTTTTAAGGAAAACCTAATAGARCATTGATCACTCGTATTTAATAAGATTGGTAATGACACATTCAACCTTAAGCTGCCGATACACGCTGCAATTTTTTCTCACGCTGGCAATGCAATTTCAATTTTTCCGTTGCATTGCCAGCGCGAGACACGGCTTTGACGGCAAAGATGTCTCGCAACGCAAAAATTGTTGCAGAAAATCAAAAAGTTTGAACTTTTCTCTGCAACATTTTCGGAATTGCACGCCAAAAAATAGCGAAAACTGAAAATCGCAGCGTCTATCACCCATATGTTTACTCGCAATGCAATAATACTATTCAGACTAGCCAATCAGGATTTATACTGATTTTTACCCAGRAGTTTATTTCAAACCCTTTTGATATGGTAGACGTTGCAATTTTTCGCTACAACAAAAATGTGAAATTGCGTTGCCAGCGCGAGAAAAAATTGCAGCGTGTATCGGCCGGCACCTTTCCATGCTTTCCATGCATATTTATTGCAGGCGTCTAATTATTTTAATGGATCGAATAACASTGAATTTTGAATTTGGTTTTGATGCGAAAACCCTTATGTGCAAGTTTATTGGTGTCGTTTCATTTCCATCAACAGTTTCGAACTGAGTACCTAGTGTGGTTGACCATCAAATTGATGCTAACATCTGCTTCTGTCATGATGTTGAAAGAATAGCCAAAACTACATTAATCAATTTTGACAACAGTTTTTAGTTTCAGACGACTGGGAACCTGGCCGCAGTTGAAATCATTGTATTTGTAAGGTGATCCTAAATAAGGCCGCTTTTACCACATTTTTTTCMAACAAAAATTAAGTTTTTAGATAGTAATAGCTTTTCTTAATTATTATATACATATATTTTTTGATATATCTTAATATAGCTATAGTAGTCGTAAAGCGCTTTGAGAATTGGWTGTAAAAAGCAGAATTATCCATCCCATCCATTCATYCATTTTAACAATCGTCATACATCATCTATTCCTCCATGAAGACCTAACCGAAGATATAGAAACGTCGCATTGTTCTCGTGCCTCAACCTCTCGACTTAAAGAAACGCATTTTCCCATCCCATGCATGTTTTWAAATTTTAATCTATGAACTCCTTTCAASAGCCAACCTTGATTCCTTMCATTTTATYTCCATATGCATTCATACTGCCATCTATTCATCGCATTCCGCGTCAAYCCCATCAGCTTTTTTTTTTCTCGTCTCTAATGCATGTTCATTCCGTCTTTACGCAGGGACCTGACTGGCATACTCAGCTGATCTTAGTGCTGACCTGTATCGTCCACACCCACAGAGGTAAGCAAGGCAYACTAGGTAACCATGCACTTCCTACGTAATACAATGGAACTCCGAGATTTGAGTTCAAAACCAAAACCTGGACCCCATTCTCAATAGACCTTATTCGTGRTGTGATAATATTTTCCCAATTCAGCGTTACAAACCTCCAGAGGATTCATTTTCTTTTGTTTTTACTTTTCGAAAAATTCATGAGTATCCCAAAGGATACGAAAGGAATAACGATGATATCCCGACGAGTAGCAAAACAATAGCTGTTCATTCCCCTAGAGGTTTGWCGCGTTCAATTGGGAAAACATTGTCACACCACGAATAAGGTCTATTGATTTTAGTGAAATATTCCCCAACCCCCCTCAGAAACCCGTTGAAAGATCGATACTGGAAATCCGTTTTGACTATTCCTATACGCAAATAAGCTGTTTAGCATACATGCATACAAACAGAAAATATATTTAGAAAATACATACATTTCCTGTTTTTTGTTTTTTGTTTTAGTTTCAGGAGATATTTGATGACAAAATCTAGGATTTTACTTCCAGATGTGGTGGGCACCGAGTAACCTAACACTTCCCTCTCTACCGTAAGATGACAATTGCGTTGACCTCCTTTATTGGTACTACCCCCTGGAGCTGAAACACACCCAACGGATGGTGAACGCTTCAGTCATAAGGTAAGCCTTGATACTTCTCCATTCGACCCGCGTGACACTGCGCGGCACTCGTAAGGAGCCTGCATCTTGAAACTTCTTGCACTCYTTACGAGCTTGGCTAACATTCATACACTGGCTACCCACTCTGATGACAGGGATAAATATTTGATTTTAACTATTATTGAAATTTACGGCTTTCCTGTCTCGTCTTGTGCTGGRCACTTTTGTTGTGTATTTTTKACATTACCCTACCCCTCCCGACTTAGCAAATGCTTTTCCAAACTTGATTCGTGGTTCAAATATTTACTTTGTTTAASGCCACGCGGGGTATAAGGTCCGGCAATAGATTAATTTAATAAGGTTATCACTGTTATGAGTTTGGCTTAGATTGAAGATTTGTATTCTTAAAGCCCTCGATCGTTATGTGTTCAGTAATGATTTTGTAATTCATGGTAAAATGAGTTAATTTATGATGCTCTGTTAATTTCCGCAGGTAGTTGGCATGATGGATAACAGTATAAAAGACGAAGAAATAAAGGAAAGAGAAGAAAAATGTAAGGGAATCGAAAAAGAAAGGAAAACCAAGACTGAAAAAAAGTGTAAAAATGGAAGGAACACTAACAAGTAAACGATATATTCTAAAATATATTTTTAAAATGTGATAGGAAAATGGAAAATACGGAGAAAGGAAAAAAACAAAGAAAGATTTATAAAGATCGTAGTTAAAACTAGTGAAAAGATAGAGAAAAGTAATTAAAAAAGAAAGAAATGAAAAAGCGTTGACGTTTGAAACGATGAAAAAGATAGAATGGTGAAGAAATAGGAAAATATATCTAGAACATAGGAAGAGAGGACAAGGAAAAGATGTGAATAACAGTAAAAAAGAATGAAGAGAAGGAAAATATAACATGCACAAAACAATTAAAAAATATAAAAATATATGCAAACATGAAAGTTAGAAAATAAATACAGTTTAGTGGTGTTGAAAATGAGAAATATAGGTCATATAAAGAAACATTTGATTGTAAAAATGTGAAATTAAATGCATTTTCTGAGCTTTATCATACAATAAAGATATTTTAAAAACATTAAAGACTTTTAGTCATTAGTTCATCTCTCTCCTATTTGCCCCAATGCATTCCCAACTCACCCCCCTCCCAATGCAATGCGCACACCCTAAACACGTACCCTTCTTCTCAATACACCTCTCAATTGAAGCACCCCCGGATACACATACCCAACTGATAACGATCTCCAGATCACTATCAAAATTACCGAGAGCGAGGCTAAAAAAAAAAAAGTAAAAGAGAAGGAATAGAGTACAAACAACTATAACCGTGAAACTTTAGTAATACTAAATAGCACAATTTCATTCAAATTCCATTGTTTTCTATCGTTTTCTATTTTGTACTATTTAGTAATTAGTGTTTCACGGATTAATTGCTTGCACTCTACCACACATTCTAGATCGTAGGAGAAAAATTGGTGTGATTCAGTTCTTTTGTATTTTCCTGTCCTCATTTTATAGGGTAATTGTGACAGTGACTGCACAATGATCCATCAACACCTTGACCGTCAACAATGCAATCAAAATAAGGCATTAATTTATTAAGTGCTAGATTCTTTGAGGCTTGCTTCTCTTTGTTTCAAGAGAAAAAAGAAATGAAAGGAATTAATGATTATCGAGAAAACGACGTGACTAAAACACGGAACACGGCGAATAATACACTTAACAACTAAAACTAACAATACATTTTTAAAGTACTAGATTCTTTGGGACTCGCGGCCTTTAGCTTCCTTTTCTCTCCATACCAAAAACAAACATTGCACGAGTTTCGATTATAATCACACAAAAGTGACGTCATATATTTGATTGCTTTGGGCGCTGTTCGTTTTAGTCACGTGATATTCCCTTGGGCGGTTGTTTNACATGGTATTCGATCAGAGTAATACATTTGGCGATATATTCATATGTAATTTACGGCTTTATGCTATTCTACTCTCTTATGTATTCGTAGGTCTTTTTCATCGTTGTTTGTACAAATAAAGACAGATAAAACATCGAGGAGCGTATTTCTTCACCATGCAATGCACACACCCTAAACACCCTTCTTCTCAATACACCTCTCAATTGAAGCACCCCCCGATACACATACCCAACTGATAACGATCTCCAGATAACTATTAAAATTACCGAGAGCGAGGCTAAAAAAAAAAAGTAAAAGAGAAGGAATAGAGTGCAAACAATATAACCGTGAAACTTTAGTAATACTAAATAGCACAATTTCATTCAAATTCCATTGTTTTCTATCGTTTTCTATTTTGTACTATTTAGTAATTAGTGTTTCACGGATTAATTGTTTGCACTCTACCACACATTCTTACGAGAAAAATTGGTGTGATTCAGTTCTTTTGTATTTTCTTGTCCTGCTCATTTTATAGGGTAATTGTGACAGTGACTGTACAATGATCCATCAACACCTTGACCGTCAACAATGCAATCAAAATAAGACATTAATTTATGTGCTAGATTCTTTGAGGCTTGCTTCTCTTTGTTTCAAGAGAAAAAAGAAATGAAAGGAATTAATGATTCTCGAGAAAACGACGTGACTAAAACACGGAACCGACGGCGAATAATACACTCAACAACTAAAACTAACAACACATTTTTAAAGTATTAGATTCTTTGGGACTCGCGGCCTTTAGCTTCCTTTTCTCTCCATACCAAAAACAAACATTGCACG